ATTTATCTAGTGATCATTTAAAAAAGTTTTTTTTTCTTTTTGTACATTTTTATTAATTTAAAATGTTAGAGAACTAAATTAAAATATATAATAACTTAAAATAAATATAAACATTTAATTGATTGTGTTAATTAAAAATTTTGTAATGGATTATTTATTTTATTTATTTTTTGTAAGCCTCATATCCATACCATATTTTCTTTCTTTATTCTGACAGCCTGGTAACAGGTTACACTTTACTATAACCTCATGGTTTTTTTTTTTTGTATGTAATGTATGTAGTTTTCCCATAAATGTCTTCCTGTAAAATGTAAATGCAGCTTTCAAAAACAACAATTTATGTTACAATCATTGTAGGTTAAAATAGTGTTTGTCTTTTTCTTTTGAACATTTTTATTAATTTAAAGTATTAGAATTAAATATAATAATTTAGAATAAACATAATCATTTAATTGATTTAAATTTTCTTGTTTTCAATTTTTAAAATACAATATTTTATATTAACCTCATATTCATATCATGTGTATTTTTTATAGTTTTGATGGTCTTATTGCTGATTTTGGTTAATAGTTCCTTTGATGCAAATCTTTGGAGTTTACACTCAAGTTGTTGTTGTTTTTTTTTCTTTCTGCTTATAGTTTTTCATAAATGTCCAAAAACCACAATTTACGTCATGATTTTATAGGTTAAAGAATCACTCATTCTTTTCCTAAAAATATATTTTTTCTTTGGTTATTACCTTGCCAGTACTGCCACAGGTTCTCTACTGAAAATAAATAGGTACACAATGATGATGGGTCCCTTTCAGTTCCTCTACACCCAGGGATTTCACAGGCAGCAGATCTCTTTCTCTCTGAATACATGGCTTTATAGTTGCTATTTACAATTATGTGAATTCACTGAGATCAGATGACGCTGTCACTAATCAAATCCATTATCCCTGACCTTCATTTCTAATAATAAAGCATGTTGCATGCAGCCCTGCTGAGCTTTGATTTAGGGCCCAATCTAATGCACATCTTTCTAACTTCTCTCAATTGCAGGCTATGACTTTGCCGCAGTTCTTGAGTGGTTTGCAGAACGAGTGGACAGAATCATCTTGCTCTTCGACGCCCACAAGCTGGACATTTCTGATGAGTTCTCAGAGGTGATCAAGGCCCTGAAAAACCATGAGGACAAGATGCGTGTGGTTCTGAACAAAGCTGACCAGATCAGCACCCAGCAGCTGATGAGGGTGTATGGTGCCCTCATGTGGTCACTGGGGAAGATCATCAACACCCCTGAGGTGGTCCGAGTGTATATCGGCTCGTTTTGGGCTCAGCCACTTCTGATCGCAGATAACAGGAAGCTGTTTGAAGCAGAGGAGCAGGACCTCTTCCGGGATATTCAAAGTCTTCCCCAAAACGCAGCTCTGCGGAAACTCAATGATCTGATCAAAAGAGCACGTCTCGCTAAGGTGAAACTATGACATTTTTGCACATTTACACTAGTATTCAAAAGCTTAGGGTCAGTAACATAAAAAAAAAGCAAAAAATTAATGCTTTTATTCAGCAAGGATGCATTCAATTGATCAAAAATGATAGAAAAGGCATTTATAATATATATAACTGTTTTCAACATTGATACTAACAATGCATGTTTCTTCTGCATATTAGAATAATTTCTGAAGGATCACGTGACACTGAAGACTGGAATAACTTATATTTAATAACTTGCATTTTAAAATATATCAAAATAGGAAACAGTTATTTAATTTTTTCCCCACTTGATTGTGAAGATTGAAGTTCAATGTGTTGGTCCATGAAAATGCCTTTTAGCTGGATATTTTTATGAACTTTAAACCCCAATAAGTGTACTTTTTTTGTTTTTTGAGTTTGAGTTTCACTTCTTATTTTCACTTTATGGAAGAACCTAATACTTGTGAGAAGTGTAGTTCTGACACACTAAACTCCACAAATGCTATTTGTATTTAATTTGAGTGCATTGAATACTTTCCTTTTAGGTGCATGCTTACATTATCAGTGCTCTGAAGAAAGAGATGCCAAGTGTATTTGGGAAAGACTCAAAGAAGAAAGAGCTTATTAACAACTTGGGCGCTATATATGAAAAGATTCAGAAAGAGCACAACATTTCACCGGGAGACTTTCCTAATTTAAAGAAAATGCAGGTATGAAGCTATGAATTTTTATCCAACGAATTAAGGTTTTATAAAGATATTTTCTTTAAAAAATAAAAACACAACACAATCTTTTTTTTTTTTTTTTGCAGGAGTTGCTAGCTGTTCAGGACTTCACCAAATTTCCTGCCTTTAAGCCAAAATTGCTAGAGTCAGTGGAAGGCATGCTAGGTAATGACATCGCTAAGCTCATGACGCTGGTCCGTAAGGAGGAGGCTGCCATGACCAACCAGTCAGTGAAGGGTGGTGCATTTGAGGGAACCATGAATGGGCCATTTGGTCATGGATATGGAGAAGGTGCAGGTGAAGGCATTGATGAGCTGGAATGGATCGTGGGCCGTGATAAGCCATCCTATGACGAAATATTCTACACGCTCTCACCAATTAATGGGAAGATATCTGGTGCCACGGCTAAGAAGGAGTTGGTGAAGTCCAAGCTGCCAAACACAGTGCTTGGAAAGGTTTGGACTCTGGCAGATGTTGACAAAGATGGCTATCTGGATGATGAAGAGTTTGCGCTTGCGAATCACCTGATTAAGGTAAAGCTTGAGGGGCACGAGCTTCCGGCCAAACTGCCTGCTCACCTTGTGCCACCTTCCAAACGGCAGGAGCAGAATTGAAGAGCTGGCTTGAATCGGTTGTATTTCAGTGGCTCTCAGCTACATTCCAAAGTGCCCAAGCCACTCTTCTAGCTTGTTTTGACCATTCAGTTGACTAACCAGTCTTCAGGAACTCGATTGTCTTATTAAAAAATGCTTGGCTAAGAATGATAGGACTGAGAAGACAAACCAAGAACTTATGTGCAAGTGAGAGACCTTTTCTTTCTTCTGCTTAATTTTTAAAATGGCTTGGAAATGGAGAAACCACTATGAGTAACTATGATAACTTCTATGGTACTGTTTAATGGGCATTTGAATGAGGTTGTAAAGCAGCAGGCAAAGATTGAGTTGAATTTAAAAAATGTGAAAATACTCCATATATGGTATATAACTCCAAAATGATTTTTATTTTATTTTTTGGCAAAACTTCTTTAACTTATTCTTTTCCTTTAGAGCTATTTTATCTGTTTTTTGTTTGTTTGTTTGTTTGTTTTTTAATACCGTTGCGATTTAATATCTCTAAACTATATATCAATATATGTATTCTGTAATTTTGAGGGTGTATCTTTACTTTCCTTTGGGATCTTGTGATCTGAAATGCTCACCTTCATTTGAATGCAGCAATTACATAGACCAATAAAAAAAAGTTTATTTGTAAGCTGTGCTTCAAAGACTGCTCGAGTTTTCTGCATTTAGAAACATTTTCCAAATTGTAGTGTGTAGTGAAACATTTGGAAACAAACACCAAACAGAGTTATTGAGTTTGAGGGAAAAATCTAAGGTCTTCTTGGAATGGCTGTAATAAAATGGCAGCATCATATTTCTCTCTGTTTATCAAGTTATGTTGAGGTGCTTTACTGTACAGTCTTGTTTCCTTTGGCAGCTATTGGGAGTTGATTGCAGATTTTTTCTTCTTATGCAGCTGACTTACTATCTTAGTTTGGTGTAATGTGAACCCTCATGCAACACTTTTTTTGGCTGAAAGGAAAAAGGCCACCTATTGGTTCCACATTGGTTTGTTTACATTATTTAAGATGCATCTCAAGAGGTTTCAAGTTTGGGGTCAGTAAGATTTTTTAGAGGAAATTAATGCTGTTTTTGAGCAAGGAAGAATTCAATTGATCAAAAGTGACAGTAAAGACTAAAATATATATTTCAAGTAAACATCGTTCTTTTGAACTTTCTAGTCGATAAAGAGTCAGCTAATTAAAATGATATCTGAAGGATGCTGTGATACTGGAGTAATGGCTGTTGAAATTTCAGCTATGGCATCACAGGAATAAATGAATAAATGTAATTTGACAAACTTTTGAACAGTATATTTAACTTAATATGCATACTACTTTCTTTTGGCAGTGGTATGTGCATTTCAATATCACTGTATACTATCAGCATGCATTTTGCCCCATAAAAACCTCAGCTTACCTCCGTTTGAACTTTCTCATTGCCATTTCTCTGTTTATGCATTCTGTTTTCACAACACACTTTGCATGAAGGTGCTAAAGTTCCCAGTAATGTCCTAAGTGACAGTAAGAATGCAGATGTGAAGGGTTTAAAATTACCACCATTAACTTGTCCTATATTTGTGCTTAATCCTAAATTAAAATGGCTTTGCTAGATACGGATAAAGCATGAGAGCCTAGTTGCATTGCGAGGGACACTAACATGCAATTCATATAATGCCATATAATTTGTTAGACCTGACCCGTTTAGCACCTCCTCCTTACTGACACCGTAACCTAAACCATTCTGTTAGAGATGCTGGTTAATAACAGCCATGTGTAAAAGGGTGATGCATCTTTAGAAGAGGTGTGAGACTAAAAAGCATTGACAGATTTCTAGCAGAGAATTGCTTCACTGCTCTGTGCATGTTTATGAGTATTTAAATGATCACTTACTGGCCATATTGTTTATTTTAAGCTGCCCATTACAAATAAATAACCAAATTAAAAAATCAGCTAATTAGATCCATACCCCATAGTGTATGTCACCATGTTAATCTTAGTTCCCTGTTGAACAGAATAAACCACATTAACAGAATATATGGAATCAATAAAACCAGACATTCAGTTAATAGAACTAAACTGATTTATTGAGGAATTTTCCAACTGCTTTGGAGCTGAGTACAAAATGACTGTTGAACTCATTTTCATTCCAGTAGGTGCTTAAATAGTTTTTTTTTGGTCCCGTCTCCTCTGTGTTTGTTTTAGGAACAGATGCACAGTCACAGAAAGAACAAGGAAAGGAAACCAGCATCGAACAAACCCTGTCTCATTGTAACAGGACATCCCAGGTCCTTTCAGGGACAGGACTTCCTTTTTTGTGATAGAGCCTCATGACTGAGCGGCTTGAGAACTAGTGCAAGTGAAATCACTTTTCTGTTCTTCATATTAGACAGCTCAGTTGTAACCTCTTTCAAAGCTACTGATTATGCTTCAACATTAGCTCCAAGAAATGTAAACTACTAAGAAATGAGGTCAGAAGGGTCCTCTCAGCCAAGTGTTGGTGGTCTGTGGGGTTTTAGGTGTGATGCACAGTGAGAGTCTTCATTTAGCAGCAATAGCGAGTTATGATCTCGAGAGGCATCGGTCTGGAGGTATTTGAGGTGATCTATATGTCATGCTCATTTTCGAGGGTCTTTTCATCCAAACATGTCCTGGGATGCATAGGTTATGTAGAGGAAGCCATCTGGGTCTCTGAACTGTGAGTAAACTTCTCCCATGCTGGCTGACAAACAGGACATATTCTTTCCTGAGATCAGTAGATGCAGAGCTTGAGATGCCTCTAGCACTATCTTACTTCTGAAAGAGAAAAAGCGAGACAGAAAATACGAAAATGGCATTACTGAAAATAATAACTTGAAAGTGCCTGAAACTTCAGGCTGTGCCTCATGCAGCTATCCAGTGATTGAAGCAACGTGGCACAGCAGCACAGGTCTGATTCACTGTTTATACAACACACATTCACGCTGACTCAAGAAAACAAGCCATAACTCATTTTCTTTTGAGCTGCAGAAACTGACACATGCAGCTAAAACTGCATCAAATAATTGAGAGAGAGAGAGTCTACACACCTGAGCAGACTGAGGAACTGCCCTAATGTCAGCTCATGTGGGACAAGAAATTTGGTTTTGTCCAGTAGGGGGAGCTTTTTCTCTCGAAGATATCGCTCCACAATTACCTAAAATACAAAACAAAATTTCTGAAGTGAAATAGCCGTTGTTTCATTTTTCTTTAAACATTTCATATTTAAAAATATATCTTACCGGCAATTTGTTGGGGAACTTAGACCGAATAGTGCAGACTTCGTCTTTTCTTGTTGCTGCAATTGGAAGAACAAAAAATGGAAAATTGTTTTACTTAGCACAGATATTTAAAAAAAAAAAAGCGTAGACATCTTTTCCTGTTGTTGCATTTTTTCTGAGATTTTCTGAAATTATTATAACCACAAGAACTAAAAATAATTATGTATGTCATGACCTACCCAGGCACTTCCTCTGCTTGAAAGGCGTAATTTCCATGGATTTCTCGTAGGGAGGCATTCTGACTGGAGACCTGTACGATGGTGAGCTATGAGGAGGCTGTGCCCGGGCTGAAGTACCCACGGGTGGAGGTTGTCTAAAACGCCTGCTTTCAGCTCGCGGGGCTCGGCCTTTATACGGGTGTGTGTGTGTGTCTGTCTGTGTGTGTGTGTGTGTGTGTGTGTGTGTGTGTGTGTGTGTACTAACGGGACAAACACAAGCATATGTGCTGCATATTCAAGTAGGCCGTTTATGCCGCAGGGTGTTGAACGTTTTGAAAGCATTCTTTGTACTGAAAAAGAGATGAAATCACAGAATTTTTGTCAAAAGTTTAAACCGTAAAACAAGACTTTAAAACAAAACACAACTATATTAATTTAATCATGTAGACACAGTTATCCAATGTAAAAGGTAACATACGAAAATAACATACAAACACTATACAGTAAAATATTTTATTTTCCGAAGAAGGAAGAAGAAAGAAGGTCACGCGGTTAGTTTTGTAACGACAGGAGGGTGAGTAAATGATGAGAGAAATTGCATTTTTGGGTGAACTGTCACTTGTGTTTTTGATGACTGAGCCCTAAACACAATGAAGTTAGTATGGTGTTAAGGACTGCATAACCATATTGAAACAGAAGCCAAGCCCAAACACCTTTTGGAACAAAAGCCAGTTTTTTCCACTTACCCTATACCATAAGGCCCATCCACACCATGCCCTCACTCTCAATGAGGTCAAAGAGATACGAAATAAACAGTAGTGTACATTATGTGCCTGATGAACATTATATGAAACAATAACAAGGCCAAGATAACAACAGGGTCTGACATAGGCTATTACTGAAGAAGAAAGAAGGTCACGCGGTTAGTTTTGGAACGACAGGAGGGTGAGTAAATGATGAGAGAAATTGCATTTTTGGGTGAACTGTCACTTGTGTTTTTGATGACTGAGCCCTAAACACAATGAAGTTAGTATGGTGTTAAGGACTGCATAACCATATTGAAACAGAAGCCAAGCCCAAGCACCTTTTGGAACAAAAGCCAGTTTTTCCCACTTACCCTACCATAAGGCCCATCCACACCATGCCCTCACTCTCAATGAGGTCAAAGAGATACGAAATAAACAGTAGTGTACATTATGTGCCTGATGAACATTATATGAAACAATAACAAGGCCAAGATAACAACAGGGTCTGACATAGGCTATTACTTTAAACTAAACTCTTTAAACATTATACACCTCACTGGCTCACCACCAGCCTATATATTTGTTGAATCACTGATGGCTAAAAGTGTGTTCAAAGTGTTTAAACTTAACTATTTAATAGTTAAACTTAGCTAAACCTTGAAATTTCAAAGCAGGTTGAAAAGTTATAGGCCTATGAATTTTGATGGATCTGACTTAAAGGTGTTCACATCAGTGTGATGTATTCAAAATAGATTAGGTAAATGATTAGGATTTTTAAAACAGAAAGAACATTTGGGAAAAGAGGATAAAAAACCTGAAGTGGAAGAGAGCTGCCAGAGTTTGAGGTTTCACATTTAGTTTTATGGTTTCAGCAGGAAGTTTGCTTATGAATAGTCAAGTTTTATTTAAGAGGGTGATGAAAGAAGAAAGAAAGAACCGATATGCAGAAAATATTGTGCTATAGGCCAGATTCATATATTTCGTTTAAACGTAAGAATACTCTTTCAGAGACAAATGAATCGCATTTTGTAACTGTTTTATAGCCTACATTAACAAATTGATTTTACATACATTATTCTATGAATCATGTTAAAACAAGTGATTTTGTGATTTGATCATTTGTGATTTGATTTCAGTAGCCTGTAAATTAAACTCTATAGCTATTCAACATGGACAGGCCTATATGTAATATCCAACCTATATTTGACTGTCTTCCTACCCTTGTGTCAGAATGATAGGTGATTAAACGATTATGGAAATCTTGTTTGTATAGGCGCAGGTTAGACGGGCAGCTACTGTCACCTGCTGGTTAACTGTCTTTGAGGTTTGTGACTACATTGGACGTTCTCGTCGCATAGCAGATACAGGAACCAACGGCTTGAAACCAACAAAACCAAGCGGATATTTGATCATTTGGAAAAGTACACAAAGTAGGGTAATAAGGGAAAAGAGGATAAAAAACCTGAAGTGGAAGAGAGCTGCCAGAGTTTGAGGTTTCACATTTAGTTTTATGGTTTCAGCAGGAAGTTTGCTTATGAATAGTCAAGTTTTATTTAAGAGGGTGATGAAAGAAGAAAGAAAGAACTGATATGCAGAAAATATTGTGCTATAGGCCCGTTTCATATATTTCGTTTAAACGTAAGAATACTCTTTCAGAGACAAATGAATCGCATTTTGTAACTGTTTTATAGCCTACATTAACAAATTGATTTGACATACATTATTCTATGAATCATGTTAAAACAAGTGATTTTGTGATTTGATCATTTGTGATTTGATTTCAGTAGCCTGTAAACTAAACTCTATAGCTATTCAACATGGACAGGCCTATATGTAATATCCAACCTATATTTGACTGTCTTCCTACCCTTGTGTCAGAATGATAGGTGATTAAACGATTATGGAAATCTTGTTTGTATAGGCGCAGGTTAGACGGGCAGATACTGTCACCTGCTGGTTAACTGTCTTTGAGGTTTGTGACTACATTGGACGTTCTCGTCGCATAGCAGATACAGGAACCAACGGCTTGAAACCAACAAAACCAAGCGGATATTTGATCATTTGGAAAAGTACACAAAGTAGGGTAATACACGTCATTAAAGTAACAACATACAATTTTAAATCACAATGTGGGTCATCGTTTTTTTCTTTATTTGCGTATAGTTGAAAGTGATCCAATATTTCTATAGCAGTGGTTCGTGAATGTTTTAAGTGAACGAATCATTGCATGAACTGACTCATTTTTTGCTTGCCTCTGTGCGCGAAAGAATCGTTCTAGTGAACGAATTCAAAGATTGAAATAGATTCGAGTCACTAGGGTGAATCAAAAATCGGTTCCGCTAATTTTGTCTTTAAATTTGATAAATGAACACAATTCAGGTTTATATTTCAGGTAAATATTAGGCAACAAGTCTTGCCACGCTACAGTCTCAACACTACAGTCATCGTACTAACTAGCAGATTCACATTCCGCGTCTTAAAAAAAGCTAGTCAATTCTGTTCGAAAACTTCCCCGGCCAATCAGCAGCGAGCTTTCACGTCTAACTCCTCCCCATTCATACTCTTTTCTTCTTCACAGCGGTGAGCTGTGTGCAAGACTGTCGCATATGATTCAATTCTCATCATCGTCGTATCGAATGATAGCCGACGTGATGGTCGTGGCGTCTCTAAATGGTTAGGTGGGAAAGGATTTTTCGGTGGTGTAATTTAAGACCTTAAAAGTATGCCTTTGTTACATGTGCCTCAGTGCGAAAGTTGAGTTGCCACCGTACTGCATTTTCGTGATACATTGTTACGGGCTCTGAATTTTAAGCGTCTGCTCCGGTGTTGCTCATGTCGCACGGCGCTCATGCTGCATTGATGGCCGGTGCTCTGGCTAGAGGCGAGCAGTGAGCCTTTCCGTTCACCGGCGACCACAGTGTTTGCCTCGAAACCGATTTTGCGCGCACGATGGCCGGACGCCGCGGTTGCATGAATTCGCTATGGTCAGGGAGCGAGCGGGTTCGTATCGGAGAGCGGCTGAAAGCCACTCTGGCCGGCGTAATGGAGCTGGATCTTCTCAGAGGACGACAGCTGGAGATGGTGGATGCGGTACTGGACATGAATGGAGCACCCGCTCACCAGGGGGAAAGACTGGAGACCGCCGCCGAAGATGGTGCCGCAACCTCCCGCAGGCAACAGGTCAGTGGGGTCGTGGGAAATTCCACAGGAACATAATGTTCCTCGTAATTTTAACTTTGATCTCCTCATGGAGGTGGAACCCTGCACCTGCTAAACGTTTCGGTGACAGTGGCATTCAGTGGAGCTCGGGTTGCATGACCGAGACAGGACGCGGCTGTGTTTACATTTCAGAATGGTTTAAAGTGTCAAGGTTGAGTTGGAGTGCACAGCTATTTTGGGCCCCTGCATACAATGCATGTTGATTACGCCAATACAAAATACCGTCTAGTGTCTTATAGGGGGAATGGGGTAAGCTGTGTCATTTTTAAGTTGGCCTCTGGGCAAGGAAAATGTAAATATATATTAGGAAGTCTGCTATCAAGTGAAATGAGAAAGCATCTATTAGAAAACTGAAATATGACATCAGAAAAAAGTAATTGCTTCATGTTGGGGGTAAGTTGAATCATTGGACAATATGAGAACAATTTACAAAAAAAAATGGACATAACCAAATTACTAATATATTAATCTCATTCAATGGCTTATAGAAGCAGACAGAATAAAATGATTAATATTTAGAATATTTGATTGAAATTCAACAAATTGTAAGATTTTGCAGTTGTATTTGTTGTAATATTTCCATATTTTTCCAAATTCAGCATTTTGGGAAAAAATGCTTTATTTAATAATGAAATAATTTGGACAAATTTTGCATGGTTTTATACACTGGCATTTCACCAACATACATTAAATATTTCAGAGCTGGATAGATTTGCGTTGATATTAAATTAATTTCACCTGCCATCATGTAGAAAATTTACTTTAATGTAATTGAGAGCGTTTCTTTCATGGCATGAAAAAAATGGTTTTCGCAGTTTCTAAAGGCTTTTAAAGGACACTTACAAGTAGCTATTCAGTCCAGCAAAATGTGTGCATGAGAAACCGCAATATGTATCATGAGACAAAAGTATTAGTCATCATCGGGGCAATGTTGTTGCCTCTCCACCTACGCGACTTCCATTTGCATAAACACCACATGGAGAAATGTTTCTGTTGTCGGCGTCACAGATATCACCTCGCCCAGAGAGAGGATGGAGGGAAATGGACAGAAAGATGGAGAACCATGCAGAGCAACTGATATGTTAACCCCTCGCTAGGATGGACTTCTGTGCAGTGGCTGAATGCAGCATCTGATTTCATAGTAATATGCATATAGTCTTTCATTTTACTGACGTTGATTTATTAGATTGTTACAATATATGATATGTTTTCAGTCAAAGGGTTGATTGCTCTGATTCATTGGCTGAAAAGCTGTCTTCCTGCTGCCTCCCACAAGACTCACCTTGTTATTAAAATATGACATTAAGCCGTTTCCTGTGTCAGTGAGGGAATTGAATGAGTAATTCCTCTGCCGATGGAACCATTGGCCTGACTGGATATTCATCTCATTATTTCCATTATTTTATGTCCATTTGGATCATTAGCCTCATATAATGCAGTTTCCATGTGCCAGAGCACTCCTTCATGAATTGATCGGTAGCTGGAAAATGGCCAGTGCGTTCTGCGTGAGATCCGTATCAGGTTTCCCCCACTGAGCAAATGCTTCTTCCAATTCTCCTGGTGAAATTAAGAAAAAAAAATTGCAACTGTATACTGAGATAATGCAGTATAGTTTCTATCTAGATGTATTCATGAGTGTATATGAACAAATTTGGACTTTTATAGGCAAATTATACGTCTTTACGCACTTCATTCAGTTGTGGCAAGGAAAAAATTAAACTGAAGTAACTCACAGGGTGACTATGTCCTCTTTGTCTTCGACATGTCCTGGCTGGGATTCCTAAATTGCCTAAAATGTCCAGGTGTTGGCTCCTATTGTTTTTATATTTGCTGAAGGTAATGACTGAAAAGTAGTTTGACCAGTAGCATGCAGGCATTGCACATAATCGACCAATTGTGGCGTGCGAGAAGGTGGAATCTACAGAGAGCGGTCAAAGCAATGCAAATATACATATAATGTATGAGGACTGTAGAGAGAACGTCAACACGAAAACAAAGCCAAAACCCAGACAAATTAGCCAATTCAAATCCCGACCCGACTTGTCCGGTAAATAGAGGATGTATGGTCACCCTAGTACCACAGAAGTGTTTTTTTTGTCAAATGCATGTGGAAGTGGCAATGCACGTGTTCGTTCATATTCCACCAGCAAAAACAGAGTTAAAGTATTGCTGCTAAATCGGATGTGTGGGCGAGGAGAGGAGAAGGAGAGAGAGGGCAGGAAGAGAAGAGAGGCCTGACAGTTCTCTGAAGTGAAGTGGGGGAGGCAGTTAAATCCAGGAGTGGTGGTGGTTGGGAGGGGGTCTCACATAAGAAATGCCTCCTTCATGCTGTTCGTCTCACTAGGCAACCCATCTCCTGTGCTCTCTACTTTTCTTCAAAACTCTTTTTTTCCTTTGCCATCTAGTCTCTTTATGGCCTCCTCCTTGAGTTTTCCACCTTCATGTCCTGCTCACTCTTCACTCTGAATGTTTTTCCTTCCATATATATTTTTAGAGTCCGATACAGGAATTGTGGGTAAACTGCTGAAGCAGAGATAAGCCTGGTCAAAGTCTCTTTCAATACCCATTATACCCCCGTTTTTTCTCCCTCTCTCCTTTGTTTCATCATCTGCCTTTCTCCGCTCTCTGCTTATTAACAGCCCTCCCCCGACTTTTTTCATTTCGCCAATGCATCACCTGCATTGTCTGTTTAAAAGTCTGACAGAAGGTTGATCGGACTTAACAGGATATGCACAATAGTCTCTTGGTTTGATGGGATTCCTCAGAAGTGCTGCAAAGGGAGATTCCTTGCAATGGGGGAGGTTGGGGATCACAAACAACTAACCCCAGTAAACACTTCACATAGATAAGCGATTCAAAACTTCTGAACTTTAAACAAATCATTCCCTTGAAGGATCTCAGTTTATTAGTTGTTTAAAATCCTCTCAGAAAAGCAGGCTTAGACATCATAAAGTCACTGGCTAATGATGTAGCTTAGCTTCCCCTTACAGGTGTGTAAGGGGATGTTTTGTAAATATATACACATCACAGATACATGACTTCTATCCTGGTATTAACATCCATCTCTGGTGATCCAATCACAAGTGGTCAGCTGAGACAAATTGCTGTTTAAATTAGGTTTTAACATGCGTCTCAAATGCATCTCCAGTAAACAGCTGTGATCGTATTTCGAGAAGAGGATCTCTGAATTCAGGACTACATGCATTACTCGCTACGTAAATGTGTTATTGCATGTTGATAAAGCACAAAATAAAATCTCATTTTAATTGTGGACATTGTTTTGATGGGAATTAGGGCTGCACAATTAATCGAATTTCTAATCGCAATTACAATTATGGATGCCACAATTACGTAATCGTTCAAAGCGGCAATTAATCGTTCAAAGTCCACTTATGTTATTCTGCACGCTTAAGATATGTTTTTCTTTCTTTCTACATGTTATCTTAAGGGTTTTTCCATTGTTTTAGTATAACATTATAATACCATTCATATTTTTAAATAAATTTATAATTTGAAGAAGAAACCAATCCGATGTACAGTATATTTTACATTACACTTAATACTATAGAAAAGCACTAAGAGTTTTTCAGTAAGGTTTTTCAGTTAGTGTTTTCAGCTTGTTTATTTTCATTTAAAAATACGGCATGCAGTTGCATCAAACAATGGTATAAACATCATTCAGTGTAAATTGTGATAATCGTAATTAATAACCGCAATTACAATTTCAAGGGAATAATCGACAATTATGATTTTTGTCATAATCGTGCAGCCCTAATAGGAATGCTTATTTTAGTTGAGCATATTAAATGAAATAAAATCCCCAAAATAATTATTTATTTTACTCACCCTTAATGTCGTTCCAAATTTATATGACATTCTTTTTTCAGGTTCCCTCCAAGCTAACACTTCAAAAACCACACAAAGTGAAAATGACAGTAATCCATGTGAAACCAACTGATGAATCAGTGTTTTCCGAAGCGAAACAATCGGTGTGTGTGAGAAAAATACTAATATTTTAAAAGTTTTAAACTACAAACCATCTGATTTAGTGCTTCACAACACTCATGAACCCACTTATGAGAGTTTTTCTTTTTGGGTGGAGTATCCCTTTAACTTAAAGGTGCAGTAGGAGATCTTGGAAAATGCTAACTTTAGCCTGATAGCACTGAAAGCTAACGTCCCACCGTCTCTGCAATCGCCGTCCAAAGCCATGCCCCTGAACACATTTACGCTCACAGACCAGAGACAACATTACTTCACTTCAGAACATGGGCTGGAATTGGGAACCGCTGATGTAGCCTATTGTAGTAA